GGGGAAGAGTGAAGTATGTTTTTAGTTTCTTCTCTTTTTTGGTGGCTGGCTGATATGGGGATCTGAACCCATTACTTTGGTGTTATAATGCTGCACTCTAACCAACTGAGCTAACTGGACCTATTTTTGGTTTCTATGGCCTAATGAGAAAAAGAAGCAGGTCAGAGAGAGATTCTGTTTGAGAATCTCTCAAATGAGAAAGAGAAAGGAGGTCAGGAGAAGGTCAGAGAGAGATTCTGTTTTCTGAGGCCCACTTCTGAGGCCTACACTACCGGAACATTATAACAAAAGACTGCTTTTCAGGGCCGGCCCAGTGGCTCACTCGGGAGAGTGCGGTGCTGATAACACCAAGGCCCCGGGTTCGGATCCCATATAGGGATGGCCGGTTCGCTCACTGGCTGGGCGTGGTGCTGACAACACCAAGTCAAGGGTTAAGATCCCCTTACCGGTCATCTTTTACAAAAAAAAAAAAAAGACTGCTTTTCACCATTATCGCTCTGAAGCTGTTCTGAGGCTGCTTCAGGAACCAAGGACAAAAGGTCAAATATTTTAACAAAAGATATACTTATTGTTTTAGACACTTAGGAAATAACAAGGGCTATGGGAGTTAGGAGCCAGGAACTGTGGACAAAAACCAGTATCTCTACATCATAACATCACAAATGCATATTGGAGGAATGAAGAAAGATAAGAGAACCTAAGTATTAACACAACTTAAATTCTATTTAGAAATAAAATAGTCCCCTGAGATAGCAGTAGTAATACAAGCAATATACCATAATATTAATTTAGTGGCATAAATAGGAAGCTAAAATATGGGAATACATTCAGCCAGGAGATTCAATACCTGGCTCAGAGAAAATATACCACGATTAAGTATATTTTACTTACGTAAGGAGAAGAGGAACCTGGTAATAGAGAAGTAATTTTTATTTTATAACCAGGAAGTGTTTATTTAATAGACCTCTATTGATAAGGACAAAATAAGAAATGAATGATAAAACTTTAAATTTAAATATTACTTAGCAATTTCCAAAGTATTCTAGTAATCCTTATCACATGTGAGCTTTATATCTAGCTTTATATCTATCCTGTGACTGAGGACAAGGCAGATATTTTAGTCCCAATTTTGAAAATGATGGAACTGAAGTTTAGAGGTTAGGACTCACTTATAGTTTCACTGTTAGATATAGTGCAGCTGTTATTCAAACTCTGATTTTCTAACCTCGGTCCAGTGTTCTTCCCAACATAGCATGATATGATGATACTTAAAATAACCTTTATGTACTACATCAAACCCAGAAGCCACCATTTTGCTTGAATTAAAAAGTGCAAGAGAGCAAAATACACCTATGTCTGGTTTTCACAGGTAGAAGTTCAAAGTTATGAAAGAAAAGAGACCATCATTTAAAGATGGAGGTACGTATGATGAAATACAAAAGAGAAGTGGAAAGAAAGAGAAATTAAAAATTTTTTAAATGATAAAAACCTTAGGAGGAGGACGGGAAAAAAAGAGATAAAAATTAGTGATAACAATTCTAAAAACAACAGAAAGGCCAGAGGATCCATAGAACTAGATGAGGTAGTTATACAAAATCATAAATTATTTGTCTCTAAGTTACGGGACCAGAAAAAAGAAAAGAACAAATGATAAAGATGAATAACAGCAAGTGAATAACAACAAATTTAAAAGTAAAACAAAGAAATTCATCAGTCTATTGTGTAAAACATTTTTTATATCTGGGCAACAATGATAAAGCAGAAATAAACTGTGGCAAAAGTATAAGAGGTCAGGATGGCCTATCGTAACCGTTTTAATAGCAGTTCATTTTCTTATCCGTTAAAGTAGGATCTGTGAAGTCTTCCCTGCAAAGTGTTTTCTCTAGTTTTTGAGTAAAGCTTCCAATTTTGGGGTACTCCTACTTGAGACCTCATTGACCACAAACAAAATCTACTCAGGTTATTTTTGAGTTAATCCTTTCTCTAATTAAAAAATAACCCCCTGTTATCATCCAATGTCAATTTTTGGTTCACAATCATATCAAAGAACGATATCTTTAAAAAGAATAGAAAGAGATATAGGGTGAGAAGTAAAACAAAAGAGAAAAAAAATTACCTCTCCTAGTCCTTCTAGTGCTCTGAGTACAATGAGAGGTCCAACTCCTAAATCTGCAGCAAGGGGAGTGAACAGGGTGAAGATAGCGGTGCCAAGGACCCCAAATCCTAGCAGCAGTTTCCCCCCTACTTTGCTGGCAATATATCCTCCAGGAATCTGTGTGATGATGTAGCCATAAAAAAAAGAACCGAGAATCCATCCTTGAGTTTCTGCATCCCATTGATACCTTTTACCCTACAAAAAGGAGGAAAAAGGCAATCCTTTAAGACCTTGACTAAACAGCTCCCTTATCTTACTGGCATGTAAATACATAAAAATGAAATTCTGAATCACTGTTTTGGATTGAAGAACATGTAAACTTTCTAGTAGATGGGTAAGTTACCACAATACAGACATACAATTTCTAGAAGTGAAAGAAAAAGAATTGAAAGTTATAAACTTCAAGAAAGCTAGCTATTTTATGAACCTTGACCACAGGATGAGCTGTAGAAGTTTTGTAATACCCATGACCAAGAAGCCTCAAAAAAGAGCCACAGGCTTAATCCAGAAAGCTATTAAACAGATGCTACAGTGCTTGAGCCAGGCTTTGGAACCAGGCCTGGATTTAAGCTTAGCTCTTTTACTTAGTGGATGTGTAAACCCAGAAAATTAAATGAAAAAGGCACATAAAATAAGGCCTGATACACAGTAAGTGTTCACCTAATGTGAGCTGTTAGCATGCACAAATGTAGATAATTAATATCTCCCCATTTCAGACCAAGCACTTGAACATGGATATGGACACTATAAAAGAGCAAGAATTTAAACCAAGCCATAAACTTCACATGAGCAGGACCTGTCTTTTAATTAGCAGCAGCACAAAGTAAGATACTAATGAAGATTTCATGACTGATCTAAATATCTGACATCTTTAATGTATGTAGCTGTATAACTGAGCCAACATGTCAAGAACCATTCCAGGATTTGTTTTTATTGCTGAAATAAGGCTGATGAAGGTAAGTAGCTAGGTGAACAAAAGCACCTTCCAAAGGGAAAGACAGAAAGGAAACCCCTAATTAACTAATTGTCTAGAACTTCATGAATGGTTCAGCCACTGAAGCTCCTAGGTTGGAGTGGAGAAAGTGGGTGATGTATACCCAAATATGTTATTCAGCAACAATATTAAGTCAAATATAAAGACTTTTGATAAGTCATTATTTTGTCCGGGTGCTTGTTTAGTGCTTCTTCTCTGCTTGAGTGCTTCTGTTTGTAAATGGCAGAGAAGACTCACCCAAGTGTGATCTGGCTTTTTTGTGAGCACTGAAAATGGATGAACATATACTCACAAATAGTATACCAGCCTTTTCTCCCTGTACTGTCTCTCTGTGTGATAAGTAAAATATTTAAAGTATATAAAACTTAGTTCTAAAGAAATTATGAGTGCACATGTATCAGTTCCACCCTATCATGAGGCAGGCAAAACAAGTAGCTTAGATTAGTAATTAAGTAGCTTAGATTAGGCAAGTAATTAAGTAATTAAGTAGCTTAGATTAGGCAAGTATAAATTTGGAAAAGAACATCCTAAGAAATTGTCCAGTTCTTATTTTTCATCCTGCAGTTGAAATTACCTAAACTCTTCCTGCAACAGTAATCCTATAAGTGAAACAGTTATTAAATAATAGTCCTATAAAAACTATTTAGCAACACTTAAAACAATCCAGTTATCTGATATGCCAAACAGGTTTTTCCAAATTGTCTACAAGGATGGTATGTTTATAGAGGAAACAAGAACTACTGTTCAAATGGATCAAGGTGCATAGTAGCAGTAGCTACAGTTATAAGTTATTGTCCAACTAGTTCTTGGGAAAACGCAAAGAGATTTAGAGTATACATAAAGAATTTGTGGTTTCTGTAGGATGAAGAAAGACCTTTTAATATTTTTACTTGGAAGTATTTTAGGGTTAATTAAGTTAGTTGGCTTAAAAAATAGCACTTACTGTTTGATTACGAAGAACTTTTATGGGAGCAGAATGCTCTGCACACTCGTTAGAAGTTCTATTATCTTCTGAAGTTGTATTTGAATCTACCATATCCACTAATGCAACACTCAGATTCACTCGTAATGCATAGAGAACGAAGAAACCAAAAAAGGCCAAAACTGCTAAGTTGTAACGAGCAGAGCAGCACACTGGAGCTGAAATAAAGATTGGAGGAAAACTTTAATTAAAAGAATAAATTAGATGATATCATCTAAACCATGAAAAAGGTTACTTTTTAGAAGTACACAGACAAATGAATCATGAATATTTTTCTGAGAATTTTCTCAGGTTAATCAAATCTAAATACATTTATCAGAGTATTTGTTCCCCGTATCTGTGGTTTTGGTAAAAATTTAACACATGACAGCCCGAACGGTAAGACAGTTTATTACTGACATAATAGCTTTATCAGTTTTGCTCAGGAAAGCCTCCATTCCAGAGTCAAACTGAACCCTATTCCATGTCAGCCAGCAAAGATGTGGCATGAGAGAAACAGGTCAGGAGGTTTAATGGCATCACTATTCCTGAAAAACTATCTAAAACATGGTCAGTAAGTACAGTGACATAGCATATGTATTACCGATCATGAGTTAGTAGCTATCTGACTGTAAATGTAGCATAGCAAAACAAACCAAAAAAAAACCCAAAAAACAAAAACCCCTTTTACTGCTAAGACAGGGTACAAAACACCGATCATGAGTTAGTAGCTATCTGACTGTAAATGTAGCATAGCAAAACAAACCAAAAAAACCAAAAAACAAAAACCCCTTTTACTGCTAAGACAGGGTACAAAATCCCTCTTGATACATTTCTTACCTTGATGAGTATCCTCGGAGGCTGGTTTTGAATCAGAAGCCATGATTAATACTTAAGCCTCTCCTAAGTGAACTGTATTTAAGAATCCAGAAGCAGATCTGCAGAATCTATGACAGTTGCAGCATCTGTGACAGTTGCTCAGTAGTTATCATGCTTAAAGGGCCCAGAGTAAAAAGGGAAAGAAGTGAATGTACCACAATGATAAAAATAAATAAATAAATAAAAAGGGAGGCAGAATAGTTTGGAGGAACCAGAAAGCAGATGGCTGACACTGAGATGGGTGTGATGACAACAAAACGGAGGGAAAGGGAATTTAGAGGATTGGCAAGAAAATAGTGTTGAGCTGTGATTATAACCCAAGAAGAAAGTAAAATGGAGAAGGTGAATGGTTTAGAAAAGTACACTTGGATATGTGGGAGCTTTTGCTGTTTTGTTCACTGCTGTATATCTCTAGTGCTGTAGAGCTGTGTCTGGGAGAGCTGGTACACAAACATTTTCATAGGTTATAAGTAGAGAGGTGTCTCCTGATGGAAGGACACAATCCCACCTTTGAAGTACTCTTGACAATAGATAAGACAGACAGATACCTCAAAAAGTTCATGGAAAAATAGAATTGAAAGACAGCACGAATACTTCTATGAACTTTTTTTTTTTTTTTGTCTTTTTGTCTTTTTCCGTGTCCGGCAACGGATCGCAACCCTCAGTGTTGCCCCCGTACCGGACTGGGGACCGGCAACGGGATCGCAACCCTCGGCGTTGCCCCCGCGCCTCGCTCAGCCAGTGAGCAGGAACCGGTCCGTATGCGGGATCCGAACCCTCGGGCGGGAGCGCCGCCGCGCTTCCCAAGCGGCGCACTATCCAGTGCACCACCGGGCCAGCCCTACTTCCATGAACTTTTAAAAGACCCCTTGTAGAATCATAATCCAATGAAACATCTAGATCTACCAATTTACAGTAAACATAAGGGATAGAAGAATATGTTTTTTTTTTTTTTCCTTTTTGTCTTTTTTCGTGTCTGGCAACGGATCGCAACCCTCAGTGTCGCGCCCGTACCGGACCGGGACCGGCAACGGGATCGCAACCCTCGGTGTTGCTCCCGCACCTCGCTCAGCCAGTGAGCGGGAACCGGTCTGTATGTGGGATCCGAACCCTCGGCGGGAGCGCCACCGCACTCCCAAGCGGCGCACTGTAGCAGTGCGCCACTGGGCCGGCCCAGAAGAATATGTTAAATGACAACACAGGGATGAAAATTGCAAGGAAAAAGAAAAGAGAGGAATGGGGGAACCTACAGATTAAAAGAGACAAGAAATATTTCAATCATTTGGAAGACATGGACATTACTGAGATCCTGATTTGAAAAAGATTATAACATAACTGGGGAAATATGAATACTGACTGGGTATTTGATAAGGATCATTTTTATGTGTTGTCATAATGGTCCTGTAGTTGTTTAAAGATTTCTTATCTTTTAGAGATACATACTGAAACATTTATATATGAAATGACATGGTATCTGGGATCTGTTTCAAAATAATCGTGTATGAGCATAAAAATAAATGAAACAAGACTGGCCATGAGTTGACAACTGTTTAAGCTGGGTGCTTATTCATTATACACTTCTATTATTTTGTATGTGTGAACTTTTCCATAAAAAAATGAAGGCCTAGACGAAGTAGGAGAGTCGTCAAAGCAGGGTAGTTATAGAGGCAAAAAGGAAGGATGCCTAGTTGTAGTTAAAGCAGTTAGGGGAGAAGGCAAGGTACAAGGAAGATTGAAGGAGGGAACGAAATCATTAGACATGCAGGAGTCCAGAGAGCTGAGGGGACATGTGTTAGACGGAAAGTCACCAAGGATTATGGCAAGAACTGGAGTGTAGAAGATGGAGGTGAGTCAGGAGGCAGAGCCTCTGATGAATGAGGCAAAATGTGGGAGGTGGGTACATGATAGCGACGATGTAGCAGAAAGGTGATCTAGCCCAAAGAAATTGAGGGTGGTGGGGTCATTGTCTGGAAGCATCTATGTGGATAAAGGAGTCTTCAACCTGATCGATTTGTGTAAGGTATGAGAAAATAATCACACCTTGAGAGAGCGGTGGGGAGTGGGAGAGTTATCCCCAGAAGGCCAGGTTTCTGGTGAAGCAAGGAGGTGCAGGTGGTGAGGGAAGGCTGATGAAAATCCAAGGATGTCTTGGCATTTATTCACTGCAGAAAGGTTTGGCAGTGGGGAAGAGAGGGCCTGGTTCAGGAGCAATGAAGTACTGAGCAGTGAGGGCCTGAGAATGATGTCAGGAATCCATTGAGACAGGCACTGACCTGTGCAAAGACGATACTTTCTCTAGAGGAAGGTGAGCACTGGACCTAGTGAGCCCCCTTGGCCAGGGTATTGCATTAAACAAAGATGTCCTATCTAAAATGGATAAAATGTAAGTTTTGCTTTTAAAAAGGGCAATATTCAACTAGTCTCACCTTGCCTATGGGTAATTAATTCCTGATAAATCCTTATATAGATCCCAAATTAACACCCATTTATGTGAAAATGCCAAATTCCATCACAATGGACCCAGTTACTTCAATATTAACATTGACTAACACAACATGACCCAAAGCCACTTTCTTTCATTCTGTAGTACGGCTGTTCTCTACCAGCATTCCATACCTCATATTTAAGACTATATTCATATATATGAATGTAAATCTTCCAGCCCCCACCTAACACAAGAGGCAACACCTCGCCCCCACTCCCACCAAAAACAAAATCAAAAAGAAAAGGGCTGTCTGGTTGGTTCATGGTTACAGTGTGGCCTTGTAACACCAAGGTCAAGGGTTCTGTTCCCCCTGATGGCCAGCCACACACACACACACAAAAATCAATGAAAACAAAGCACAGGATGCATGAGTTATTACTATTATAAGTTAGAAAATCACAAGTTCCAATACAGTGTGACAGTGAAGAATGAGGCCTTCATTTTTCAGTGCCCAGCTTCTCTGAGGAATGCAAACTCCAAATGGTCTTCATTGATGATGATGATGGTGATGATGATATAATAATAGCAAGTAACACCATGTGCCAAACTCTATTTTAAGCACTTTCTCTTTGCTCATTTAATTCTCACAATAACCCTATAATTAGGTATATTATTTTCCCTGACTTACAGATGAGGAAAGCACAGAGAGATTAGGTAACATGCTAAAGCTCACAAAACTAGTCAGTGAAGCTGGGATTGGTAATTAAGCACTCTGCTCCAGATCTATGCTCTGTCTTTAGACACAAAGAAATGTCTTAGAAGCCCTAAAGCTGATTTCTCCTAACATGAATGAGTACATCTTTGGTACAACTGTATTTTGAAGATATACTTAATCAAATACAAGAGAGAGACTTATATGAAAGTAAACCTTCAACTGGAGGAAAGTATGATGAATGAAGAATTTTTATGTATGGGAGGGCAAGCTTTGCCCTTCCATGCCTAATTCCCTCCCTTCCTCCTACTTAAATTAGGCAGAAAAACCTACAGACTTCCAGCTGTTTATCAGCATTGAGCCAGTCTTCCCCTATCATTTTGGTGTGCATCTCTGAATTCCAGAGGGCTCAGTAAAAGCAAATGCTTGGGAGAAAATCATAGTTGGGTTGCTGAGAATTCTGTCATATTATACTAAACTGAGAGGTATTAATTCTTAATACTTGAAGAAACATATCCTAATTTTAGCTTTTAATAAAGAAGCACTGTGCATAATTAAAACCATGTACCCTTATTCATGGTGGGGTGGGGAACTTCCAAATTTGTGAATAATCAAGTAAAAATGACAAAACATTTTGCAAATAGTAATTTCTAAAATATAACACAAGTTGGCCAGTGTTGTGTGTTGAGGAAAGAGGATAGGACTAAAACCCAGGAGAACTCTGAGGCTAGTCCTTAATACCACTGTGTGCAATCTTGTGCACTTAACCTCTCTGGCACTCAGTTGCCTGCATGTAAATGATGCTCCACTAGATAGTATCTCTAAGGTCTTTTTACTTCTATAAAATTTTATAACCATGACATTTTATCAGCCTTTCCCTCCTGAAAAACAAAACTATATACTTAAGCATATATAAGGTACAGCTAATTTCATATTGGTTTGTTCCAGAAGCAGACATAAAAGATAAATAAAATGCATCTAAACATATGAAAAGGGAAGTTTTAAGGACTGCTAAAGATTTACTCCTTAAGGCATCAAAACTTTTAAAAAGTAAGTCTGGATGGATGGAAACTTTTCATTTTTAAACACACACCTTCTTAAATGTGTGAACTGAATATATAAAACATAATTTAATCTTTAAAAAATATATCTAAGGGTCATCTTGTTTCCTCTGTTGAGATCATACATGGTGGATATTATTTCTAAACATGGGACAGGGGCACCACCGAGAGGTAAATGAGATGACCCCTGTAGCCTTCTATAAAGTTGTTATACCCATCTTTGTCTTTTCTATCTCTTTTTTTCTGGTGCTCCATCTTGTCCTGCTCACAATACCCCAGACACACAGCTTGATTTAAAATATTGTTGACCGATGCAATAACCTATAACTGTAGGCTCCTTCTATATAAAATCTTTATCATATTTTAAATAGCAAAAAAGTGTGTTGCTCCTATTTCTACTTTACTTGCTCTTCAGTGGGTATGTAAAGAGTGAAAATAAGAAGAGAAATGGCTATAATGAAGGCGGCCACCTCAAGCCTGAAAGAACAGTGCTAGTATCATAAAATCTATACACTCAACCCATGAATCAAGCAGGGATTGTTTTTAAGTGATGCTATGAGCTAATTTTTTTCTTTTTCAATTAATTTTATTGAAGTATAATTTACGTGAAAACTGTACACATCTGTCCATTCCAATCAAGATCAAGATGTAGAACTTTTCTATTACCCCAGAAAGTATTCTAGTGCCTCTTTGCAATCAATTCCTTAATGCTTGGAGCTTTCAGGCAATCACTGATCTGCTTTCTGTTATTATATATTAGTTTTGCCTGTTCCAGAACTTCATATCGAAGGAATCATACACTAATATGGTGGCTTCTTTTGCTCAGCATGTTTTTGAGATTTAGCCATGGTGTTGTGTGTATCAATAGTTTGTTCTTTTTTACTGCTGAGTAGTATTCTGTTGTATGGATATACCACAATTTGTTAGGGCCGGCCCGTGGCTCACTCGGTAGAGTGCGGTGCTGATAACACCAAGGCCATGGGTTCGGATCCTATATAGGGATGGCCGGTTTGCTCACTGGCTGAGCGTGGTGCTGACAACACCAAGCCAAGGGTTGAGATCCCCTTACCGGTCATCTTTTAAAAAAAAAAAAGGTAGAGTGCGGTGCTGATACCACAATTTGTTTATCCATTCACCAGTTGATGGTTATCTAGGTTGTTTCCAGTTTCTGACTATTATGAATAAGGCTGCTATAAACATTGTGCGGTTGTATGGGAGTGTATGTTTAACTCTAAAAGAAATTGCCCCAAAGTTTTCTAAAGCAGTTGTACCATTTTACACTGTTACTAGCAAGCTACAAGAGTTCTAGTAATTATATACCTCTGCTAACATTTGGTATTCTCAGTCTTTTTTGTTTTAGCCATTCCAATGGGTATATGATGTGTGGTTTTAATCTCCATTTTCCCAACAATTAATGATGTTTAACATTTGAACTAAATTTCCATTATATATATATTTATTTTCCAACTGCAAAAGAATATAGTAGTCTCTAGAGAATATCTTTATCATGACATTTGCTTCTGTACTTCTATACTAGATTATTTTACACAGGGAGATTACAGAATTCTAATGCTATGAGCCACAGAAAAATATCAGTTTATAGAACTAAATCCGACTTCCAGGTAAAACATCACCACAGTACAGTATGTATTTATATTTAGCTTTGACTAAAATAAGCTACTAGCTGCGGGATGGAGCTATAACATTGCCACCTCTACTGCCACCATCTGGTAACATCAAAAACAAAGATACCACAGAAAACTGTACTGTTCTCGGTCAGCAAAAGTCAAATATCCAACTCAACTCTTTCTCACACACATATCTTTCAATGCATGCAAACTGATTTGTTTAGTTTTCATTACTTTTAAAGAAGCTATATTACAAAAGTGTCAAATATCAAAATATGTTAATTTCCCCAAATTCAGGGAAGATGCTTTGTGAAGTACACTGTATGTTCTTTTTGATTTGTTTCAAGACCTTTGGCAAATTACCTTAGAGCTCTATAGATATCTTGAGGATAACCGAACTGTTTGTTGACTTAAACCGTAGACTGCTACACGGGGTGGGGTGGGGGTGGGGTGGGGTGGGGTGTCTGCAATATTTTTAGTCTTTTACTGCACAATGTCAAGATATTCCATGGGTTGTGCAATAATTGCCGTCTGGAAACTCACAAATGCTAACCCCAGTCCTTTTTGTCCCCGCCCAAGGAGCTGCCAGATCACATGCTGGCGGATATGCAGCTGCAGAAACCTGGCGGTGACAGGGAAGAAGAGCTGGCGGCTCCGCTTCGCCTTTTGCCTACTGATTTGCAGGTTTCTCCCCCAGTTCGCTCTTACACCCGGTGCTCCGCCCGGCCCTTGGCCATTGATTTGAAGGTTCTTCCCTAATTCGTTCTTCCACGGGGTACCCAGCTCAGCACGACCGAAAACAACCTCGAGCCCAGCACCGGCAGTACACAGCTGGTCCCTGCCCTGGCCCCACGGGACTGCAGCTGCCGAGGCCCCGCCCGAGCCCCGGGCCCTGCACCGCGGTCTCCGCTCTGCCCCTGGGGCCCCTCCGGGGCTTCTGAGCACCGGGGCAGGCGGGCTGAGTGGGGTCCTGAATGGGCTTCCCCTCCTCGAGTCCCCTCTGGGCTGAGTAGCTTCGGCCCCGCCGGCCCAAGGTACGGGTACCCTGGCCACGTCCGCCCTGGGACCACCGCCCGCCTAAGGACCGCCCCCCGCCCAAAGCCCCTTGACGGCCCCGCCATTCACCGGCTTCGGCCCGCGGGGCGCTCCGCAGGAGAGGCGTGCTGTCCGTGCTGTCCTCGCCATCGTTCAGGGCCCGGCGTGGATCCGGGGACTTCATTTCGCCTACGGGGAGCAGGTGTGCGCGTACCTGGCAGAGCGAAGCCCTCCCACCCGACAGCCGGGGGCTCGGGGCCGAGCAGGCGGGGCGAGGGCGCTAGCACCGCCCTCGGCCACGTCGTATCACCGAGGCCCCGCCCAGCGCGGCCGCGCCGACTCCGCCTGCCGCCATCTTAGGTTCGGGCAGCTCTGGCGCGGGTGAGGAGAGGAGAACCGGCTTCGGGAGAGCCGGTTTAGGGAGCTCTGGCCTGCGGGGGGTGGTCGGCTCTGCTTAGCCCGCCCTGCGGGCTCTACCCGTGCCGGGTCGCTTGTGTTCTTGGGAACGTTTCCCGCTCTTGCGTCCCTTTGTAAAGCGCTGGGGTCGCCCCTCCGGCGCGAGGATGAGTGGGAGGCTGGAGGCTGGCAGTGGGGAGTTGAATCGCGCATAAATGGGGGGCGGGGGGAGGGGGCTTCCACCAGCCTGGGGACGTGGATGTGTTTTTGACGTTCAGTTGTCAGTAGTAAATTGCCATGACTTAGCAACCTTTGTGCTGTCTACCCCGTGCCAGCATACTGTCCTTAAAATGGCTTTTGAGGTGGAAAAACAGTAAATGGAAATATGTTGAGTCCTATGAAATTGTCGATTTTAGAGGTAAAAATAATCCACTGTAGGTAGTTTCATATGGTTCAACCTATAGAATCCTCTGATGTATGTAAGTCTGTTTTATCCTCACAGGTCTAATTCGGACAGATTTTCTAGCGTTTGCTGACTAGGGGAAAGAGGAATTAGGAAAATGTACCCGCTTGCCTTGGCCAGGCGGATCTGGAGCCGCTGTCCTGACCACAGGGTTCAGTTCGGCAGCTATTATGGGTAATAAAGGTTATATCTGTGGAGAGAGACGGAAAAATAAGATGTCCATGCACTCGGAGAGTTCAGTGTAGACGGGGAAGATTTACAAGCCAAGAATTCAGTAAACCGGATTAAGAGACTTGGTGAGGTCCATGTGGGAGTCCAGAAGGGAAGGGGATGATTCTGAAGTCATCCTAGCCTCTGGATCAGTAAATGCTAAGAAGGTTTTCAACTTAAAAAAGCAAATCAGGGCCGGCCCGTGGCTCGCTCGGGAGAGTGCGGTGCTGATAACACCAAGGCCATGGGTTCGGATACCATATAGGGATGGCCGGTTAGCTCACTGGGTGAGCGTGGTGCTGAGAACACCAAGTCAAGGGTTAAGATCCCCTTACCGGTCATCTTTAAAAAAAAAAAAAAGCAAATCAAACCTTGTTTCTGAGCTACTGAAATTACCATATAGATTTCAAACTCTGAGGGTTGTAGAGAAAATGCTACTCACACATGATCTCCTGGTGGGTCCTTTTAAAATGTAGATTCAGATTCAGAAGGTCTAGTGTGATAGTTTTATGTGTCAACTTGGAGGGTGTTTTTAAAAAAAAGTTATTGACACAATAACTACATATTTATGGGGTACAATTTGATGTTTCAATACATGTAATTCGCAGAATTTCCAAAATCCTCTGGCTAATTTGAAATATACGTTATTGTTAACCATAGTCACCTCACTATGCATTGCAACACTGGTGCTAATTCTTCCTATCTGTAACCTTGTACCCATTGACCAACCTCTCACCATCTTTCCTTCCCAGCCTCAGGCAACTGCAAATCTACTCTTAACTTCTGTGAGATAAGCTTTTATAGTTTCCACAAATGAGTGAGATCATGTGGTATTTGTCTTTCTGTGCCTAGCTCACTTCACTTAACAAAATGACTTCCAGTTCCATCCATGTTGCTGTAAATGACAGGATTTCATTCTTTTTTTATGGTGGAATAGTATTCCATTGTGTAAATATACATTTTCTTATCCATTCATATGTTGATGGACACTTAGGTTGATTCCATATCTTGGCTATTGTGAATAGTAATAAACATGGGTGTGCAGATATCTCTTCAACATAACTGATTTTGTTTCCTTTGGATATATTCCAAGTAGTGGTATTGCTGGGTCATGTGGGAGATGTATTTTTAATTTTTTGAGGAATCTCCATACTATTTTCCATAATTGCTGTACTAATTTACATTCTAGAGGGTGTTTTGGGATGTGATTAGCACTTAACTGAGCTAACCAGCCAGCCTGAGGTTAACACTTTAATTTGTCAACTTTGGGTAAAGCTGGTTGCCCTTCATTATGTGGGTGGGCCTCATTCAATCAGTTGAAGGTCAGACTAGAACAAAAAGTCCAGCCCTCACCAAGCAAGGGGGAATTCTCCAGCAGACTGTCTTCAAACTTCATTTTCACCATTGGGTCTCCTGGATCTGGAGCTTGCCGGCCTACATTGTGTGAGCCAATACTTTTCTTTCTCTCTCTTTCTATTGGTTCTGTTTCTCTAAGAACCCTAATATGTCTGGGATGGGCCTGAGATTCTGTATTGCTGGCAAGTGCTAGGTGACCGCCCTGAATATAAAGGTTAGAGAGGACTTTGGCCAGGGAATAAAGATTCCAGCAGACTTGAAAGATTTCAAAACAGAGGAGGTTTTTTTTTTTTTTTTTTAAAAATACACTTTTTATTTTAGAAGTTTCAGATTTACAAAAAAGTTACAGACAGTACAGCGAGTTCTCCATACTTTGCCTAGTTTGACCTGTTTTTTTTGGCAGCTGACCGGCCAGGTGACCTGTTGTTAAGATCTTACATTAGTGTGATACATTTGTCACAACTAATGAGCCAATATTCATTATTATTAACTGAAATTCATACTTTATTCTTTAGTTTTTACCTAATGTTCTTTTTCTGTCCCAGAATACATCCAGGATTCCATATTACATTGAGTCATGGTGTCTCTTTAGGCTCCTGTGACAATTTCTCAGACTTTTCTTGTTATTGCTGATCTTGATGGTCTTACAGAGTACTGGTAGGTTTTATAGAAAATCTCTCAATTTGGGTTTGTCTGATTTTTTTTATAATTACACTGGGGTTATGGATTTTTTAGGGGGAAGACCATAGAGATAAAGTGCTGATTTCATCGTATAATTTTAAGGGAATGTGCTATCAACATAACTCATCACTGATAATTACCACTGGTGATGTTAAGCTTCATCACATGCCTGAGGTAGTGTTTGTCAGGTTTTTCCACTGTAAAGTTACTCTTTTTTCTCACTTTCCATACTTTTCTCTATGGAAGGAAATCAGTACGTGCCGTCTACACTTAAGAGGTGGGGAGTTATTTATGCTCCACTACTTTGAGCCGCAGAATTCTTTTGTGTGAGAGATTTGTTTATTCTCCCCCATTTATTGATTTATTCGGTCACTTAGTTATATTAGTATGGACTCGTGGTTATTTACTTTATACTTTGGTTATAATCCAACATTATGTTGTTTATTTTGTTACTCCAAATTGTTCCACCTTTGGCGACTGGGGGCTCTTTCACTTGGCTTCTGTGTCTCTTTTACATACCCCCATTGTGTTTTTTGAGCACCACCTTACTTTCTGGTGCAGTAAGATGTTCCTGGCTCATCTTGTATGTTCTCTGCCTCTACCATTTTTCCGAGGAGGATAACACCAGAAACCAAGACCTGGGCACTGGATGTACTTCTTTCTACTAGGGTGTAATTGATTCTAGGCCCAGAGAGGTACTTTTGTTTTTGTTCTGTTTTGTATTCTTCCTAAGAGGATTTTTTATAAAGTGTAAGGTGACACCTTTTTCTTTCTTATATATGGCATTCACTTCCTGATTGCACACTACTGTAGAAGATTACCGTTGATGGTATTTATTTATTTTTTGGTTGATAATTCCTTCCTTCACTACCACTCTATACCAGTGCTGTTCAGTAGAAATATAATGTAAGCCATATATGTAATTTAAAATTTTCTAGTGGCCACATTAACAAAGTAGAAAACCAAACAAAAACAGGTGAAATTAATTTTATAACATACATTATTTAACCCACTGTATCAAAAATATTATCAATTCGGGCCAGCCCGTGGCTCACTCAGGAGAGTGTGGTGCTGATAACACCAAGTAAAGGGTTAAGATCCCTTTACTGGTCATCTTTTAGAAGAAAAAAAAATTTTATAACATACATTATTTAACCCACTGTATCAAAAATATTATCAATTCGGGCCAGCCCATGGCTCACTCAGGAGAGTGTGGTGCTGATAACACCAAGTAAAGGGTTAAGATCCCTTTACTGGTCATCTTTTAGAAGAAAAAATATATATATATCAATTCAGCATCAAATCAATATAAAATTATTAATGAGATATGCTCTTTTTGGGGGGGTACTAAATCTTTGAAATCTAGAAATGGTAGAGTATGCATTTTATACTAATAGCCCATCTCCATTAGGACCAGCCACATTTCGAGTGCTCAATAGACACTTTATGGCTTGGGCTACCATATTGGACAACATAGTTCTAGGTCATGTGAGAGCTTACTCTTCCTGTCTCCCCCCACCCCCCAAATCCTGTCTTTGGATGGGAAAGGAACATCTTTTGGGCAGAGTGCCTTGTTCAAAAGCCTCTAGCTGTTTTCTATAGTTTCCTCTTCTGTAAAATGAAGATAATAATAGAAACAACCTCATAGGGTTGTTGTAAGGATTAAATTAATAAGATAATAAGTGTGAATCACAGTATCTGCTGGTAGTTAAATCTCAATATATGCTAACTATTGCATTTTTTTTTTTTTTTTAGCTAAATTTGCTTTCCAAAATGAACTTACCCATTTTAGGAACTCCCTTTGATTTTCATTATACCTCTTTTAAGACACATATCACATTTTGTCTGTCTTCAAGGAGCTTATAAATTAAATGTACCTTGAAGGAAATATTTCATAATACTGTCCAAGGGAAATTTAAAATGTTTCCCTAATAGTTATGAGAGGTAGAGGACATATTTTTATTTCTATTTCTAGAGAGTAAGTGGCATATGATTAATGTATTCCAGAGGAAGAGTGATAATATTTTTAGGAAGGAGTTTCAGAAATGGATAGTCTGGTCATGCTTTCCCATATCCTGTTTCCTTTAGGCAGCTCTATTGTCAGAAGTCCTCAGGCAATGATCACAATATAAACAAACTGATATAGGAAAAACGAGCATAGTTTTCTATCATGTTTATATGATAGTGGGCACTCATTGTTTTTGTAGCAGTTTGAATTTCCTCAGTGCCTTACAACTTAACAGTTGGGTAGTTCTTGCAGCATACCAACAAAGACATCAGTATTATTATAATCA